TATGTAATTAATTGTAGCATTCTAAAAAGTGAGTTGAGTTAGCTTGATTTTTAGATTTGGTTTTGCTGAGCATTTGAAATTCCTAAATTGTAAATTTGAATAGTCTTTTTTGTTTGTATGCATAAATAGATTACGAGTTATGTAGCCTTTAGCAAATTATTAAATACTTCCTATTTATCAAAACTGTACTTGACTTTGGGGTATGAAAGTTAGTTGACAGTGTCATATCCCCCCATATTCCTTGAGGAACTGGTGGCTTCTTGAGGAGCCAGTCATGGGTGCAGTTAAGATAGTGTAGTGATTAGAGGGATGTGTAGAGTGCAGAAGCTCAAGGAAAGTACCCTTGTCCAGCTGAAGGGTTAGGGGTAACTATCACAGTGGAAGCTGCGTTGTGATTTTCAGCAGAACGAGCTTGTTCTCAGTAGAGAAGACAATGTATGTAAATGCATGCAGTAGATGTGCAGCTTTTCAGCACTGCTGGCTGATGAAAGGCAAAGCCTCCAAGTTGTTGGAGATGATTTAGACATGATTATTAGGGCCAGAGATGTAGCTTAGTGATAGAGCACTTGTCTAGCATGCACAAAGCTCTGGTTCAGTCTCTAGCATTGCAGATCATGAAGACTATCAGAGAGGATTTTTGCCATTTAATAGTCTGTGTATAGACTGTGAGGAACTGGGAGGTGTGGAGTAGAGTTATTTCTTCTTTGAAAGTCCCAGTAACCACCTAATAAACTCTGGCTGTCATTTACATTTGTAAAGAGCACTCAGTGGTATGAACAAACCAAAGAAGAATTGATGGCTCCAGCTCTTCTTCCAGAGCTTCACCTTTTAAAGCAGGTAAGTTAGGGAGGTCCATCCAAGGAGTAAATTGAATCAGCATAGCATAGCGTTAAAGGTGCTTGCATAAAAGTCTCTCCTTTTCTGTTTTTTAGAACATAGCAAAGCAGCAGGGAGAATAGCTATGAAAATTCAAGAAGGTCTTGTCTTATAGAGGTTTTACTATTAGTCTGTGTCCTTTCAGGACATGATTCACACTCCTTTTGACCAGGAAATGGATCTTGTTTAACCTCTAGATGTCTCTTTCCAGCCAATTACTGTTTCCTCTAAGAAGCATGGGTTTCTTTTTGTCAGGTTAGCATTTTGAGCTCTGGATTGACTGTGTTTACATTTATTGCTGCAGATTAAAGTTAAAGGTCCAAGATACTGGGAGCTGCTCATAGATTTAAGCAAGGGAGTGCAGCACTTGAAGTAAGTATGTTGAGTTTCTCAGTTGTATCTTTCAAGCAGTGAATTCAAGTACACAAGGAAGCATAAATTCTTTGATTTCATACAGGATTTCATACAGGGTGGATTGAATAATGTGATTTTTGTCTTTGAAAAAGGATTTGTATTAGAGTGTAAACTTTTTTCTGAAAAGATTATCATTTTGTTTCTAATGATGTGTGTGTGTGTTTGTGTGTGTGTGTGTGTGTACACATGTGCACACCTGCCTGTCTGTGGGTATGTGTAGATACCCATGGAAACCAGAGGGATTGGGTCCCTTGGAGTTGGGATTACAGGGTACCCCCTGTAATTTGAACAGCCCACTGTGGGTGCTGGGGCCTCCGCAAGAGCAGCAATGTGCTCTTTTAACCCCTGAACCATCTCCAGCCCCATAATGTAAGAAAATTTATTTTGAAAATCAAGCTGTAAATATTTACATTTATTCATTAAGAAGCTTGAACTGAGTTAGCTTTAGACGGTAATGGCATTTTCTTTTGGTACACCAATATAAGTTTTATTTTATTTATTTATTATTTATGATTAATATAAGATTATGGAAGAGTGCTTTCAGGTAGAAGTCATTATATATAAGTAATTTAGGATGTTAATACTTTTATACCTTAGGTAGTGTATAAATTAAGTGTTTAAATTTCTTGAAAGTTTTAATGGGAATGTAAAAAAGTTTTATAGTTTAACTGTGATTGGCATCTTCCTATTCTCCAATAGCTGATTTCTGTTTGTGCTGTCTTTGAATTTTCTTCCTGCTGAAAACCAGTTAATAGATCATTAGTACTTTCAGTGTCACTGGTGTATTGCCAGAGGAGATGGGGAACACCAAGGAGTGCGACATAAAATACTACCTTTGAGCAGGTAGAATGCTTACTCATTTAACAAGTCCCATGATTCTAGATATCAAAGCAAAGTGAAGGTCCTTGCTTACATGGACTGATTGATTTGTACACAGTAAATAATTGTATCAGAGAATGACAAAGACTTCATCTCCTAAAAATGTGGCATTGAAAAATGCTATTTCTAGCCAAGAACTACCAATAATGCCTCCTATAAAATTTATCCTTTTTCCTTTCAGGTCCATTCTTTCCAAGGATGGAGTTTTATATGTAAAGCTCAGAGCAGGCCAGCTCTCCTACAAAGAAGATCCAATGGGGTGGCAAAGTTTGTTGGCGCAGACTGTTGCTAACAGAAACTCTGAAGCCCGGGCTTTTAAGGTAGTGTTGGTTGATAAAACCGGAAGGGTGGAAGGAAAACTGTCCACATCCCCCCATCTTTCTTTCTCTTCTGTTGCTGCAGATTGTAAACCGTAATTGACCATAGTGTCCGTTACTTTGTAAAGTGACAGTGATAATAAAATAGGGACAGGCTGCTGGTATTCTATATAAGACTTGAGTTTAGTGACTATATCTCTAATATGTAGTTGGTTGATAAAACCGGAAGGGTGGAAGGAAAACTGTCCACATCCCCCCATCTTTCTTTCTCTTCTGTTGCTGCAGATTGTAAACCGTAATTGACCATAGTGTCCGTTACTTTGTAAAGTGACAGTGATAATAAAATAGGGACAGGCTGCTGGTATTCTATATAAGACTTGAGTTTAGTGACTATATCTCTAATATGTATTAACACTTAAATAATATTTGGGTTAATAATTTTACTTATTAGCTAGCCGGGCATGGTGGCGCATGCCTGTAGTCCCAGCACTTGGGAAGCAGAGGCAGGCAGATCTCTGTCAGTTCAAGTCCAGCCTGGTCTACAGGACCCAAGACAGCTGGGGCTACAGGGAGACCCTATCTCGAAAAGACCAAAATATAT